CTTAAACAAGGAGAGAAACCTGTTTCGGTCTACTTCTCTACCTTGAAGTCCCTGTGGCATGAGATTGATCACTTAGAGACTCTTAAGTGGGAGAGTCCCAAAGATGCTCAGACCCATAGAAAGCACATCGAGACAAACAGAGTGTTTGAGTTTCTGGCAGGACTGAATTCAGAATATGATATTGTGAGGCAGCAGATTTTGACCAGAGATAGTGTGACCCTCTCTCAAGCATACTCCTTAGTGCACAGTGAAGAGACCAGGAGGAAAGTCATGATGCAACCTCAGTCGCTTACACCTGCCTTGGTAGCTGTCAAACCCAAAACAGGGGGTGATTCAGAGAGGGACAAAAAGAAGGAAGATAAAAGGGATGTGGTGTGTGAGCATTGTAAGAAACCTAAACACACAAAAGAAACATGTTGGAAGCTGCATCCACATTTGGTCCCGACAAAGTTGAGAAACAAAAAGGGTAATGCTCATGTGGCTGTGACTATTGATTCAACATCCTCGTCTGGTACAAGAGGCACACCCTTAGAGACCTTAGTTGCAGTTCGGGCTGCTCTAATACAGTTGAAAAAGGAAATTGGCAGTTCAGCTCAGTCACCGCAGTCATCATCAGCCCCTGCCACATCGGCCTTTGCACATTCAGGTACTCGAGCCTCAGCCTACCAATAGATTCAGGTGCATCCAACCATATGACTAGCTTGCCCTCATTGTTTACTACTTATCACTTATCTTCTGGTAGGGATAAAGTATCTATTGTTGATGGCTCTCTTGTCCCTATTTCTGGCAAGGGTGACATCAAATTGTCGGATACTATCTCCTTGTCATCTGTCTTGCATGTTCCTAAACTTGATACTAACCTTCTTTTCGTTAGTAGTATTACCAAACATATGAACTGCTCAGTAACTTTCTTCTCTAACCGATGTGTTTTTCAGGACCTGGAGACGAAGAAGGTGATTGGGATTGGCCGTAAGACGAATGGTATCTATCTGCTCGGGGAGAGTTCTCGTCGGGAAGAGTCAGTGGATAAGAAGTTACTTGTTTCTCAGGTTGTGAGTCCGGTTATGCTTTGACATAACCGATTGGGTCATTTGTCTTTTCGGTCCTTAAAGAGTCTGTTTCCTACTTTGTTTGAGTCTGTTGAGTCGTCTCAGTTGAAATGTGAAAGTTGTGAGTTTGCTAAGCATTGTAGAAACTCTTATTCATTGAGTAATAAAAGGAGTAATAGTTCTTTTGATATTGTGCATACTGATGTTTGGGGGCCATATCACATTCCTTCTATGGGTGGGTAYAKRTRTTTTTTGTTATTTGTTGATRACCACACCCGGTTTTCTTGGGTTTATCTTATGCGTTCACGAGATGAGGTTCCTGCCCTAACCCAAAACTTCCACCAAATGATCCTAACCCAGTTTGATGCCAGGATCAAAGTTCTTAGATTTGATAATGCAAATGAATACTTTGCTAAGCCCATTGGCATCGTACCTTCTTAATCATGGGGTTATCCACTAGAGCACTTGCCCTCATACACCTCAGCAGAATGGGGTTGCAGAAAGGAAGAATAGGCACATATTGGAGGTGGCTAGAAGTATTATGTTTACCTCCAATGTCCCTATTCGCTTCTGGGGTGATGCTATCCTTACGACGGTATATCTTATTAATCGGGTTCCTTCCTGGATTCTTGATATGAAACCTCCTTTTTCACTTCTATACCCCAATGAGGAGTTGTTTACTATTCCTCTCAAAACATTTGGTTGTACCTGTTTTGTTCAGCTTCTCGGTCCCCATCACTCCAAGTTCGAACCCAAGGCCTCCAAATGCATCTTTCTTGGTTATGCACAAACTCAAAAGGGTTMTTGCTGCTATGATCCTGTCTCARGGAAGAAGTTTGTATCCATGGATGTCACTTTCTTTGAGGAGACACCCTACTATTCTCGGGTCTCTCCTCAGGGGGAGAGTAGTGAGCGTGGAGATTTGGGTCATTTTCTTCAGGGGGAGTGCAGTGAGGGCAGGGTTAATACTTTTGGGGTTGTTCCTTTACCTATTCCATTGGGTGATGAGGGTTGTAGTAGCGAGGGTGGTCAGGGGGATCGGGAGTTGAGAGTCTATCACAGGCGATGTAGGTAGGTTGATCCCGATCATCAGCAGTCCCGACCAGCTCTAACCTCTTCTGCGGCTCCAAGTCCAGATATTACAGTTCCAGGGCCCACAGAGACTCCTTCCATTGTTGCTACCTCACCCCCTGCAGATGACCTTGACCTTCCCATTGCCATCCGTAAAGGCAAATGGCAGTGCACCACATCTACAGCTCACTGCATCTCTCGGTTTTTGTCCTATGATCGCCTATCTCCCTCCTACAGGTCCTATCTCACTT